ATGTTTTTCTAAGCCCACCCGAAGGTAGCAAATCCACATCTTAGCCTACTTGTGGGTAGCACCATCAAACCACTTTAAAAAATAAACATGAAATGTTTTGTTCCAATTCAGACGATCCAGTCTATACTTGTATGCTGTGTGCATCACATAGTAAATCCAGGCTAATAACCGGAATAAGAACGCATAAAGTTTTCAAAACTAGATATCATGGTTAGTAGAGGCTGATCTTTGATCGGGCGAGCGGGGGTGCTCACGAAGTGACCTTCCCTAATCGTACCCAAGTTCCCGAGCTGAGGCAACTTTGGTGATGACGGACACGTGGCCTTAGGCAACGAGTCAGGGCTTCCTCAATTTTTCAAAAATAAAATATTTAAGTGGCAACTCTGTATCTGGCAAAGCAGTCCATGTTTGGCACTTCTTTCAAAAAATCTGTTTTCTCAAAACGATTTGCCGGATTAGGACTCTTTGGTTCAGATTAAGAACCGTGACGATTTGAGTCCGAACTGTAGTGAACCCCAAATGAACAGAACGGGACTCATCATCTCGGGGCGTTCGGGGACGTCTACACCTTGTATATGATTTTGGCATCTTTTCAGTCCTCTCTTCTGTGCTTTTGAATGTATATTGAGAAATTCTATGTGAAATTTCGTTGAACTAAGTGAAACATGGAAATATGGGTTCCTATCTTTTTGAGAAGAACATTATCTGTCACACTTAGAATGTTTAAGTCTGAAATTGAAAGCCTTAGAGGCTTAGTTGTCTGAAATTGATTTAAGATTTGGACTCGGCATGATTTTTAAGCTATAATGGGCTTTTCTGTGAAATTTCAATTTGGGATGTTTAAACGATTGAATTTTGTCTTTAGTTGTCTTTTAATATACATATATACTTATGTCTCTTACATGTTGAGTCAAGGATCTTGTTTAAAATATCTTCCAAGAGAAGGGTTTAGAAGAGAGGGTTAGAGAAGATCAACAAGGAAGAGAATTTAGGAAAATTGAGAAGTTCCTTGGAGATTGAAGTTCAAGGTGAGATTAATCCATCTAGTTTCCTCATTTTCTTGCTTTGGAGTAGAACTCCCTTTGGTGTTGTGTGACTTAGAGTTGTAATGGAAGTTTTAAGTGTGGAGGTTGAGGAATTAAAATGTTAATCTCATCATTCATTTCTTTTTCTTTAATTTGAGTGATCTAGTGAGAAGATGCATCTTGTTCTCTTACCAAGTTACATTCACCTTTATGATCATGGTGTGTGTGTGTGTGTGTGTGAAGATGGAATTGCATTATGTTTATGAACTCAAGATTGATGAACTCATAATAGATTGATGTATGTGTATGATTATTGTGTGTAAATGTAATTTTATTTACATGATTTTCTAGACCTATTGGAAGTATTATTATCATTTACAAAAAATTAGGTTTTGGGTGGAATTTCGGATGGAAATGGTGCAGAATCACCGCACGTGCGGGAGTCATGGCTGCACGTGCAGGAGTCACAGCCGCACGTGCGGCGAAATGGGAAAAATTGGAGTTTGGTTCTGTCTAAAAGGCACGTGCGGGAGGATTTTGCCGCACGTGCAGCCCAAGCTGAAAAACTTAGGATGCTCCGTTTTGCATGCCGAACCCTCTACTGTTGTTGGAATCTGCATTTGATATTAATTTGATATATGTAAATTCAGTCAATGTAATATACGTCAGGAAGCGAATGAATAAAGAAAAAGGAACTAAAGTTTGATTTTGTGTATGTATAGGTCATACCTCGGGAAGGTCAAGCACTCTGTTGCCGCACTGTGAGTAATAGTACTATAAATGTACATTATTTTTCGTTAATAATTATTATTATTAACATTCTGTTCTCCGTGGTCAATTAAGTTAACATGTACGTGGAGTGAGAATTCGTGTGAACTTATGTAAACATTGAAGGATTTGGCACACACCGTTATGATACAGATATTTACCTACAGTGAATCATCAAAACGAATAATTGGATAAAACTACGAGTTGTTTTGTACGTTAATAACCGTTGTGAAAATATGTTAAATATCAGAGTAACCTCTGAATGACTCAATCCGAAGAAAGAATTGAATATCAATAACACGATTATGTGACTCGCGTTATGATGTGAATGGCTCCACTCTTATTAATGTGGTGGAGCATTTACCTTCTGTTCATCGTTAATATTATTGTTCTCTTATTGTGGGACAATTATGTCACCTTATGAGAAACCATGGGAAAATCTAAGAGCATTATTGGGTACTGCGTTCTGTTTATTGTTGATAATGGATACTAACACACTGTTATCTGCAAGTCAGTTGTATAGATTCATGACGAACAAGTGGAACGTAAGTGCATTACGAGACTAAGGTATCTACGTATCTATAGACTCGTTTAATCTGTAATATGCTCTTATCTTTATTAGTAAATATCTGTAGCACTCAATTAAGCGTAAATTAGTTATGTTGACTCATGTGAATGAATGAAAGAACCTGTATGTCTCTGTATAACTCCGGGACTAGTCTACTCTAATGATTTCTGGTATCAAGCAAAGTGTTGTACGGAACTAAGTGCTGCAAAGCGAGTCACCTCTAGAATTTGTACGAGCCACCTCTTGAGCCCATACATATGTGAACTGGGCTTAAAGCCTCTGTGAAAGTTATGAGGCCTATGGCCATTCTGTAAAAGTTATGAGGCCTATGGCCATTGTGTATGATTTGTTAGTATGAAACAAAGTGCTGTACCGAACTAAGTGCTGCAATGCGAGTCACCTCTAGAATCCGTACGAGCCACCTCTTGAGTTCATATACGCATGATAAGGGCTTTAGGCTGTTCTGATAAGGGCTTTATGCCGTTCTGATAAGGGCTTTATCCCATTCTGTTAAGGGCTTCATGCCGTTCTGTATAAGGGCTTAATGCCACTCCGTTCAAGGGCTTAAAGTCATTATGTTTAAAGACTGGGCTAAGGCCGTTTTGGAATTAATGTAGAATCAAATTAACCATATGCCCTCTCTATTTCTATACGCACTGATATGTATTATAATTCAAGATGAGCATTAAATTGTTTATGTACTATTATGTACTGAGCTTCGCTCACTTTGTGTTATGTCTATTCTGTAGGTAATCACTTTGGAAGTCCGTCTTAACCCTTGACGTTGGCCCTTTAGTTATCAACCACAGTGTGTCCAGGCACCCAAACCAAGCCATGCACTTCTGTGAAGTTTTGTTAAGATTGTGGCTTGCACTTTTTGCACTTTAATTGTTTACCTAAAGTTTAAATGTATGTTTATGACCCCTTCCTTACCACTATTTGGTTATATACTCAGTAAGGGGGCTGAACATGAGTATGTGATCCTGGCATGTTAGTATTAGCTCGATAGATGTTATTCTGAATGTTATTGTATAATAGTAAATGCTTCCGTTCAGGCCCCATACGTTATATACATCAGGTTTTATGTCCGTTTCTGAGGTAGTCATGCCCAAACTTTTAGGGGCGGGTTTGGGATGTGACAGCTTCTAACTTGGTGGAGAATAAACACAAACTCATCCAATGTGTACCCTTGCCCAACTGAGTGAGTTTTCAACCAAAGGGCCACTCTAACTTTAATAAGCACACATAGATCTTCACAGATAGGTTGCAGTCCATTAAAAAAATAGTCATTCCTACACTTCCAGAGGGACCATAGACCAGCAATTAGGATTGCTCTCCAAATTTGCTTTTCTTTTTTTCTAACCTTCCAGCCCAACCACCAATGCATTAGCATAACCATTGAGCTAGGGGAAACCCAGAGTAAACCCTACCACTTAATTAGATTGGACTAAACTTTCCAAGCAAAGGGGCGCAGCAGCAGAACATGGATATGAAATCCTATGATTCAATCTCTCCAAACAAACATGCTGAAAGTGTATATTTTCAAGGATCATGTGTATATCCATGTTGGAGTGTGTCTGAAAGAAGACTTCACATCAAATAGAAAGTAAAAAAAGATGAGACAAGATATATTAGATAGGCTCTCCATTTATATTGGGCGCTAGTGTTGCGAGTGTGGATTTGGAGTTTCTTCCCATGCATTGGCCTGGTACCGTTGTGCTTTCATGGACTCCTGATTCCCTAACATCCTTTTGATTTGGTTAATGATAAGTCAGCATCTTCATCTTGGTGCTAATCTTTTTTTTGATCGGCACCTTCATCTTGGTGCTAATCTAGTTGAGATCTTGATGGTTTACTGTGATACTTTTTACACTCTCCTTTTTATTGATATACTTTTATCGTACTCTGTATTGTTTTCATCAATAAAACTTTATTTTGCTGTTTAAAAAAAAGTCACCATCTTCATGTCTCCGAGCCTACTAAATAAAAATACAGAGCAAGCTCTTGGTTCATGCTTCTACCATTCTCTTGAGTGGGTCTAATAAGTGAACCTGACCTTAAGCAACATAAGCAGCCTCTACAATCCAAGTCTACAGTTCAAGTGGTTAGTTAGATTAAGAACTTCATGTAGAAACTGTATAATTATTATAATTGCTTAGGTATTCATTCAAGTAAGTACTACATTCAATTTCTCTTCGGTTAATGTTACAATTTAAGCACAACTCTCTATTGTGAATCTAGAAAAACTAATTTTGTTACAACTAACCGTTGATGTACTTAAGTTAAGCACAAGTGGTTATTGGAGTTAGTTAATTAGAAGTGGTTAGTGGGGTTAGCTAATTAGATTAGGAACCTCATGTAGAAACTGTATAAATATTGTAACTGTTTTGGTCTTCATTCAAGTAAGCAATATTAATTCTCATCGATTAAGGCTTCATGTAAAATTTTAAAATACTCTAGCTCACATTAATCAACTTGGACTGCCCAAGTGATAAGAACTACTAGTTGGTAGTTTGAGCATAATATACCAAATTCAAAAATTAAAAAGTAAAATATAACAAAGTGCATACTTTGGGAGTTATTGTTGTAATTAGCCTAATTAGATAACTGAGAAATCAAGAACATAGTTGTAAATTAATAAAGTGTAAGTAAAACATGTGACCAATGCAAATGAGAACTGTGGAAAACTGTCACAGTTCTCAGATGTACTCGTTTATCAGTTATTCCACCCCAAAAAAAATAAAATAAAATAAAATAAAAATAAAGGAACATAGAAAGCGAAAGAACGAAAAGGGAAACAAACAGGTGTATAAAAAAACAGTGTTACGAGAAAAAACCCAGAGCTCTTGAGGTTTTTCTTTGAGAACCAACTTCTCTTGACAATGGCATAAAAAGCAACGTTAGGTGTACCTATGAGACTGATCCTATAAAATTAAAACATAAAAAGCAAGGTAAATTGCTGAACCCATACTCTGATTCTTCCTCTTCATCCCCAATAACCTAATAATAACTTCTCAATCATTCCACATCGTAAAAACACCAGGATTCGAACCTTGAACCGAGTCCCCGGACCAGCTTCCATAGCCGGTGGATGGCATATCATAATCGACCTTCACCAGTGCAAGCTCCTCTGCTGATCCACCGGCATTGGTGGGTGTAGAATTCGATGCCATCCCAAGTCCACCACCTAAGTACCCTCCTCCACTGTAACTGCCACCAGAACTGCCATTATTATCCATAACAGATGACGAAGAACCACCCATGTTCATCAACCCATGAAGCAAAACCGGGTTAGTCTGATAGTAATTGTTGTAGAACTGAGCCTGTGGGTTCTGGTTTGAATGGTGCAAGTACGAACCCGATTGCTGGTGCAACTGGAGCTGAGTTTGAAGATAATTTTGGTGAAATTGGGATGAGTCTTGGGCATATTGAGAGATATCTTGATGTTGTAAAGATAGTAAAGGTTGAGGTTGCTCATATGGACTCTGCTGAAGAAGAGGGTAAGCCTGTAAAGTCTCGGACCTAGAGCTTCCATATTGAAAGGATGAGCCAAGAGCAATCATTTCCTCTCGTTTTCTTGAGGATTCAATGGCTTGGGCTTCCTTCAACCTCTTGGCTGCCCCTCCTCCAATTGGTAAAGTGTTGCTTTCAAGAATTGCTTTCACATCATAACGGTTCATGTCGAAGTTGGTCACTGCATTTAGGCCTCTGAACTTTATTGCTGCAATGTCATAAGCTTCTGCAGCTTCCTCCTCCGTACCTGCGTCATTGTTGTTATATTTAAATTCTTGAGGTAAAAAAAAAAAAAAAAAAAATATTTGTACCATTTGATAAAAGAAAATGGCATATGGTAGATTGAACACTGATAGTCCCTAAATGATTTCTGTTAGTTAGTGCTGTAATGTATGGAATAGTCCCTAAATGATTTCTGTTAGTTAGTGCTGCTTGTTTTAGCTATGTTGATGTGGCTTGTGGATTGGTGTATGCTGTATGCTGTGTTGTAGGTGGCAGGTATGTACTGTTGGGATTTGGTGGGTAGTGTGGGAGGTTTTTGGTCTGTTATGGGGGTCTGTTCACGTATGGGAAGGTTGTGCTGTTTGGGAAGACTTTCTATGGTCTGGTGGTTGAACTCTGCTGCTTTGTTTTTGCTTTGGTCCCTTAGTTCTGGGTTTGGTCTAGCTGTTTCCTGTTAGTCTGTTATCTTGTTTTCGGTTGTTGGTTCCTCACCAACTGGCGCTTGGAGCTTTTATTTAGCTCCAAGCTCCTCCTTATTGATGTAATAGTTCATACTTTGATTGTTTCATCAATAAAGATTTCGTTTTGCCGATCAAAAAAAAAAAAAAAAATGTATGGAATATTCAGGGAATTTAAATGACTCACTGAAAGTTCCCAAATAAAGGTCTTTGTTCCCTGCTACCCTTCCAATCCTTGCTTGCCATCTTCCATGTTGGTGATGCCTGTTTGAAAATCATGTGTGGTGGTGAGAGAGAGAGAGAGGAGGGGGGAAGGGGGAAGAGAGAGACAGAGAGAGAGAGAGAGAGACAGAGAGAGAGAAGGGGGGGGAGGGGGTTGGATTTTTTTGAGTACCTTGTAACTCCACGATACATTGATGCACCCCTAGAAAATCCACTACTTTTCCTGAAATTTATTACCGGAAGAAGAAAGTTAGTGACTAGATGATTTTCTTAGCACTTACAAAGTACCATGCTTCGTGTTAGCTCTAAGCTCCTCTTTATTGATGTATCTAATCATACTTTGTATGTTTCATCAATAAAGATTTTTTTGCCGATCAAAAATAAATAAAAAAAAAAAAAAAAAAACAAAGTACCATGCTTGACCAATAAAAAGTGAATCAGTATAATAGTAAAGATTTTTAGTGCAAAAGCTAACAAAAATATTATATGTCACTAAATTCTCATGACCTATTTTTTGTTTACATCTTGTTGAAGATTTTTTTTGTTTACATCTTGTTGAAGATTAATTCGTATTTAGAAGAAATTATTTAACCAAAATAAAAAATAAAATAGGTGTAATAGCTTGTGATGGATGTGGTGAAATAAAATGGTAATAAAAATTGATTATAAGATACATGGCACTCACTCTTCTTCAAGTACAGAGGGGGAGGATAAATACAACTAGCTATATATGATTCATAGTTACCTTCTAATTGAGGCTACAAATTCTTGTCTGGTCATGTGTTTCATCTCCTCAAGCTCCTTTTCGTAATTACTGATCTGCAATTTCAGATGTATTAATTCATTTTAATATGTGACGGTCAAAAACATTAGAACTATTATTTGATTTTTCTTAAAATCTTCAGTGCACGACAAAAGCATACAGGGAAGTTTGTAGTGGTAGATGTTCCCCAGTACTTCAGTGCAGCCATATCATAAGCCCTAGCTGCTTTCTCTTCTTTGTCATACCCACCTGCTCAAATTAAAATTAAAATAAAATAAAACAGAAGAAGAAGAAGAAGAAGAAGAAGAAGAAGAAGAAGAAGGAAATTCATGGTAACAACATCCGGTAAAATGTAAAGATTTGTTACAAGTGATAGGAAGAAAGAAAGTGCACTCACCCAAATAGACTGTAAATGATGGAGGAAGCGAATACAACCCATGACAATGAAAGAAAATAATTAGTAACATTTCAATATGATGTTTCCATTGAAAAAGAGTTGAATACCCATATATTGATAAACACTCAGAATTTGTGCTCAGAAATTTACTCTAAAAAATCAACGTGTTTTCTAGGTTCATTTTACAAATCTCACTGTATGAGAGTCTGAATCACACATTTCTTTTTTAATACATTTTTCTTTTAATACATTTATGGGCACAAATTCTAACTAAATAGCTTTATGCCCATATATATATATATATATAATAAGCTTCTACCTTGGCGACCTTTCCTTGATTGTCCTTCCCTTCTACAACTGTTATCCCAGAGATGAGCTTCATACCTACCTGTCCATCTATGCCTGCATTAATGTACACCACATAAGTTGACAGATATTCTAAGATGTTAACTTGAAAGACAATCAATGCATACATGCAAATAGAAATGTATGCATTGCCCACCTAGTTACACCTCTATATATTGATGTTCTTTGCCCAAATGTGTCCAGAGTCCTTCTAGGGGCAGCTTCAACTGTAGTAATACTATTACTGTTTTCAACAGTGGTCTCACATGTTGAGCCCTTTCCACTGCCCATAGACAGTGTCAATGACTGGTGCAAACTACTAGCATTTTCTTGAAGCTCATAGTTATTAGGAGTTGCCCCTAAGGCGTTTTGCACTGGCACCAGATTGTTGCTTTGAAATAGGTAGTCAGTATCATTGGCCTGAATTTCACTGTAACCTACAAGATCTGTCTGGTTCTCTGATTTGCTGCTCACTCCAAGAAAATCTGCAACTTTTGGAACTTCGTCGCTTCCATGAGCATTGATCAAATTCCACTCTGCAAATATCCAAAAAGAAGTGTAAATACAATAATATTATGTGCCCAGAAAAATACTAAAAAATGAAATAGGTAGACCAGATTTATTCTGAGTGTAGCTCACACTAAGTTTGACTCTTTAGGAGTACTTTTGGAAGTACATAGATTTTCAGTCGTGAATAAATTAGGATAAGAGAGTTAGAGAGAGGTAGAGAGAAGTTGTTGATGTACCTTGGTTTTGAAATGGGTTGTCGATATTTTCGTTCACTAACCCAAGAGAGAAATGATGAGACTGAGAGTTATGCAGATTTGCTGGTAACGAAGGATGAGTCGGTGAAAGAGGAAAGGAAAGCCAGTTGTTTGAATTCATGGAACCCATAACCTTCGTTTATATAGTTCTATTTAAGGACTCTACTTCTTCTAACAATCAATCAAAATTCTCCTGCACCTATCAGAAAAAGAAAAGAGAATTACAAAACAAAATGGAATATTATAAGCAACAAATACAGGATGTAAAGGTTTTGAGAGAGAAGGATCATTGAAGATGATAGCTATAAGGTTTTACCAAGTTAAAGAGTCTGCAGCAGTGGAGTCGCTCTCTCCCTCTCTCCCCCTCTATAAGTTTTTATGTAAGGTGAAGATGGCAATAAAACATGAGAGAGAGGGGAGGAGAAGAGGCTGAAAAGAGAAAACTGAGAAAGATACAAAGGTATTTAAATCTCCCTCTTTGTGTCTCTAGGGTTCCCTGCCAACCCTTTTTGCAATGGTCATTTTAAGTGGTCTGACTCTCAGTACCAAATTCCAATACTTCTGAACAGGGTAACATAATAATAGTATATATAATATAGTTTACATAACGAGGATGGCCACGAGTGTCTTATTATATTAATGGATGTGGTCCTGTAATTCTTTCTATTTGGAAAATTTTGTGTCTTTTGAAAGATAAGAAACAAAAATACAACCAAACAAGACAAGTGGTGCTAGGATCACAAAGAAAATTTGATAAAATTAATATGTGATTTAAATTCATTTTAAGAATATATTTAGATTGCTAAATGAAAAAATAAAATAAATGATTGTGACCTCTTATTGAAGAAAGAAAATAAAAAATATATATATTTTCTCGTTATCATATTTGAATAAATAAAAAAAAAAAGTACATAATATATCAATACGAAGGTGACTTCTTTTTTTTTGCTTTGTACTTTAATGGGCAGTGGCGGAAACAGGAAACTAAATCAGAAGAGACACTTCTTGATTATAATTATAATTTTTTTTCATAACCAACAGTAAGAAGATAATAATAATTTTTGAATTAATATTAAGTACAAAAAATTAAATAAATTATTACAAAAGTATTTCACATAAAATTTTATAATTAACTTCACGTAAAATCGAAAAAAAAATATTACGTATAACTAGTGTATCATAGAGAATGTAAAAATAATCATATATTTAAGTCTTAAAATAAACTATATAATGGTAAGATAAATCAAATTTTTATAAAATTTGAGTAAAAATTTCATATAAGAGTGATACCAAAGTTGGTGAGAGACCAACGGAAAAAAGAAGAAAGAAGAAGAAGAACCAACCAACCACCGCAGATTGAGAACTACTACTAGCCCAACACCCCAAAGATAGTCATATAGCAGCAAGCATCCAGAGTTAATTAACTTTTATAATTAACTTCACATAAAATCGAAAAAAAAATATTACGTATAACTAGTGTATCATAGAGAATGTAAAAATAAGCATATATTTAAGTCTTAAAATAAACTATATAATGGTAAGATAAATCAAATTTTTATAAAATTTGAGTAAAAATTTCATATAAGAGTGATATTACATCTTTATTGACATATAATATCACAAATCAATAGTAAAGCAACATATAAAGGGTGAACTCCACATGCAAATATAACTATCACTCTAATAATTTTTACATATATATAGTGAGATTAATTTTCAATAATGATGGATATTACTTTTATATTGAGATTTTTTTTCATAAAATTTTCATACATAGAAATATAATTTATTGTAGTCACTTCATTTTCAATAAAACAATGACAATTGTTTTCATAAATTTAAAATATCCTTGACATTTTATTCTAAATATTATTTTTGTTTAAAATTTTATTTATGTACAAACGTAAAAAAAAAAATGAAAAAAAAAATAAAAAATAAAAAATCCTGGAGAGGCACGTGACCCCCCTAGTCCCCATGTGTCTCTGCCACTGTTAATGGGTGATGTCAATATTATGAAAACTATAATGCTAAAAACATTATTCAGTATACCAACCAAGATACTAACAAAAACATAATACATGCATATTGGATCAACCACTAGATATAAGAACCATTTTACATTGTGTCTAATTAATACATTTGTCAAACATTTAAACTAGTTTTTGTAGTTATGAAAACTACGCAATCAACCAATTTGTTCCTTATCAACTCTCTCCACTTTTGACAAGAAATAAAACTCTTATAAAATATAATTTTCAATTTATTTATACATCAAATATACGAAAACAATGATCATTTCTTCATTTCTTATTATTTCTCACCAAATAAATCAATCCAAACAAATTATTATCATACAATGATCACACTTAGAATGGATCTAATCCCTACTTTCTTTTTTGGGAAAATTATGAATAAGTTGTAATATCAAAAAAATATATATATATTACAAAGTGATGGAAAAACTTGTAATTTCAATTATTAAAATTGATAAATTTATCACTTATTTGAACTTTGTTTTGAAACAATACAACTGAGGTATAATTTCCCTTTCCTTTTCGGCACAATTACTATTATTTACAAGCATTTAGGATAAAACACAATTCCAACTGAAAAAAAAAATTCAATCTTACAAGCATTTAGGATAAAACACAATTCCAACTGAAAAAAAAAAATTCAATCCAACCCCTCTCTCTCTCTCTCTCTCTCTCTAACCCACTTGGTTTATTGGAACTCTCTTCCTCGTTGAACGCAATAAATGACTCCCCAAAGCCCAGCATTCCCACTCTGCGCATATCATCTTTTGGACTAAAAACCGACAATCTACGTAAAGTTACCCAACCTCTCTCTTCCTTCTCTCTATTGTGCATCCAGTTAATACTTTTACTATATTCGACTGGGGATATATATTATATAGTAAATTCAATCTACACAACCATACTATCAAAAAAATAAAAATAAAAAATAAAAAAAACCTATCGATCTATCTTAAGCTTAGTTGCACGAAGCGGGAGCGGGAGCGGGAGCGGGGAGGCGTGAGCTGATAGAAGCTTCTTAAGTTGGGAGCGCCTCGGGGAGCGGTAATATATATATATATATATATTAATACAGATTAGAAGTTTTTTCATAAATATTTTTTATAATACACATTAATTATTTTATTTATTTATTATATTTTTTAAATAATATGTTATTGTTAATTTATTTTTTTATTTTTAATTGATATATATATTATAAATAAAAAAATATAACAAATAAGGAATAATAAAATATGTTAAAATAATTAATAAAAAATTAGATGATTTATTTTATAAATTTTATTAAATTTTTTTATTATATATGATTTAATTAGATTTATTAGAGAGAGAGAGAGAGAGAGGAAGAAGAAGACGAAGACGACCAGATCAGAGGAGATCGCGAGAGATGAAGACAGAGAGATAGAAGAGGAGGTCGAGAGAGATGAAGACAGAGAGCAAGGTTCTAAATCGCGGTATTGGGTAACGTAACGGTATCGATCGCGGAGTATCGGTATCGGTAGTATCGATCGGTACGTATCGGGAATCGGGTGTCGTGGTGGTGAAATTTTATTATATAACAAATTATATTATTTATTATATAACGAATTATATTATAATTATATTATTTAAATATAACAAATTATATTATTTATTATATAACAAATTATATTATAATTATATTATTTATTATACTCATTAGTTACAAACGGGAGGGGACAGATCTGATCGACGAAAGAGAGAGAGAGAGAGAGAGGAAGAAGAAGACGAAGACGACCAGAGAAGAGGAGGTCGAGAGAGATGAAGACAGAGAGTGAAGAGGAGATCGTGACCAGATCAGCGGAGATCGTGACCAGATCAGAGGAGATGTAACAGAGATCGAAGGCTATCTTCGTTGACTGAATCGAAGATGTGTCGGAGAAACCCTACCATTGTTCACTGTAAGTTTCTCTGAAAAACCCTTCTTCCTCTCATTTCGACATGGAAGGCTAGGGTCTCTCTATCTCTCTCTCCCTCTCTCTCTCTCTCTTTCCCCTTTACGACTCCGTCTTGGACTGAATCGCGTTTCTCTTTGCACAGAAACGCGATTCCTACCTGTTTCTCTCTAAGAAACGCGGAATCGCAATTCTTACTCAGAATTGCCACCTAGTTGGACGATTCCTGCAACTAAGATCTTAAGCCATTGATGGAGTGTTCTTGAATATGCATCCATCAAAAACCATTTTTGTAGATCCCCGAGTCCTGCATGTGTTCAAGATGCATGTGTACGGACACATGCAAATTTTTTTTTTAAAAAAATTATGTATCAAATATCCGACATATTAAATAATAAAAGTACTGGGGAAAAAAAACTAAAAGGGTAAGAATTACTCTTCTTGTTCGAAATAGCAAACAAAAGGCTGTTGCAATATAAAAATATGAGATTAAGAAAGATTGAGCGATTTTGTTTGGTTTTCCAAGTAGAAATCTGTTGACCATCTAATTGGAAACCGCACTCGTCAAAAGGTTAAAACCAAAAAATTGATTTAAAATAATAGTACTTGTTGCAGTGCATGTCTTCTCTCTACAAACTAGAAGCTTGAACTGTATCTGTATTCATCCAGTGTAGCTATATCTTTGACTATGTGTCTGACGGAGATTGAGCGGTAATATTGGTGCTAATTTAGTTGGGATTGGTATGTTCGTTATGATGCTTTTGCACCCATCTATTTCCTTTTGTGATGTAATGTTTTATCGTTCATCAATAAAGATTTTTTTGCCAATCGAAAAAAAAAAAATCAGAGTGTAAAAATATGCTTGAAATATAAATTTTTTTAATATAATATAAAATATTTTTCAATTTTTAAAAGTGCGACCGCCCCTTCCACTCATCAGCCACATTTCATGTCAGCTCAATAAATGGTTACGATTAGGGCTGAAACCTAACCGAGCCGAGTTTTGTTGAGTTCAAACTCGGCCTGTTTACTAATCCAGTTCGTTTATTAAATTCAAGTTCAACTCGATAAGTAACTGGGTTCGAGTTCGGTTCGACTTGTTAATATTAATTAAATTCGAGCTCGGCTTGATAATATATATTTTTTAATATTATTTATTCTATTTAAATAAAAAATATAATTAATATTATTTAATATATAAATAATGTATTTTTACTATTATTTATATATATTTATATATTATTTAATATATAAAAATATATTTATTATATAATTTGAGTAAAGATAAACGAGCTGAGTTTGACGAGCCAAACTTATTCAGGTTCGAGCTCAGCTCATTTACTAAATGAGCTTAATATTCGAGCTCAAACTTGACTCACTTATTAAACAAGCCGAACCGAGTTGAACTTTTAACAAGCCGCGCAGAAATTGCTCATAAGCAATTTAATTCGTTTGCAACCTAGTTATGATCTTAGGCTAAAGTTCATTGAAGTGATCAGATTGAATCAAATCCATTTTCAACTAGGTAGTGATAAATCATTAGCACAGTGA